CAGGTTCCGGAGCCACTGCTGCTGCTACAGCCGCATGTCTACCTCCAGGCGCTGGGGCGTGTGCACTGAGCAGCCGGCACGCTGTGTGCACCCCCCCAAACCCTGTCCCCAGAGCCAGACACCTCTCCTCCCCGCTGCTATCACGTGCAAGCTGAGACGCTGTGTATGACCCGGCCTGTATGTGCAGGATATGATGTAGTGCGCTGGGCATGAGCGGAACAATGCGGGCCGTGAGTGTGCATGCAGCTCACAGCAGTCCGGCTGTGACAGCAGCTGACCTGAGCGGCTCCGGGTTCCGTCCCGGTTCCATCAGGAGCTGCGGGTTGGCCACCCTGGTCTACACAGTAGGAAGTTGAAGGAAAAGTGTTCTTCCTTCGGCTTCCCTTGCTTGTCATGAAATGAGGGTTACAGGAGTCAAGAATAAGAAGTCCTCCTGCTCAATATCATTTAGAAATAATGGCTTGCTGTGTAGTTGTACCCTATGAGACTTTAATCTGAGTCCTGACCATTACCTGTAGATATCATATACCTCATGGTACTGTTTGCAGAAGTAGGGGTGTTCATCCCAGAAACCTGACCACATTTCACTGTTTATTTGACCTAGAAAATTGAGTCTTCATATCCCCTACTAAGAAAAAAAAAAGAAAAAAAATCTCTGAATTAGTGCTACAGAGTATGATGAGTGATTGCATTCTATCCATATAGGTGGTTGCATTTCACTAGTGGGTTAATTTATCTCTGTGTATATGAAATCTTAGAGCATCTTGAGTCATTTGAAAATCATTACATATATAACATTATGGAATAATAAAATCATTATTTTAATTCAAATTGAAATGGGTAAAAAGCACTGCTAAAAAGTTATTTTCTCATAGATTGAATGCACAATCATTTTGTTATGAACACCTATAAAAGGTGACATCTAGTAACTAGTGTAGAATCATAGCATCATAGAATCCTAGAACTGGAAGGGTCCTCAAGAGGTCATTAAGTCCAGTCGCCTGCCCTCATGGCAGGATCAAGCACTGTCTACATCCTCCCTGACAGGTGTCTGATTAACCTGCTCTTAAATATCTCCAGTGATGGAGATTCCACAACCTCCCTGGGAAATTTATGCCACTGTTTAAACACCCTGACAGTTAGGAAGTTTTTCCTAATGTCCAACCTAAGCCTCCCTTGCTGCAATTTAAGCCCATTGCTTCTTGTCCTATCATCAGAGCCGAAGGACAACAATTTTTCTCCCTCCTTCTTGTAACACCTGTTTAGATACTTGAAAACTGCTATCATGTCCCTCTGTCTTCTCTTCTCTAAACTAAACAAGTCCAATTCTTTCAGCCTTCCCTCATAATAGGTCATGTTTTCTAGACCTTTAATTATTTTTGTTGCTCTTTTCTGGACCTTCTACAATTTCTCCACATCTTTCTTGAAATGTGGTGTCCAGGACTGGACACAATACTCAAACTGAGGTCTAATCAGCGCAGAGTAGAGTGGAAGAATGACTTCTCGTGTAGTGATGCTTATGGATGCTAATTCACAAACTTAAATGCTAAAGTTTGGGAGGTAGAAATAAAATCACATTCAGTTACAATAGCAAAGTATATCATGTTTTATAATCCTTAACATTTCTCCAAGCTACATATTAAGAAAAACAGCAGTGTCAAGTGTACTCTCAATAGTCTGTTTTTTAAAGTATGAGTCAGTACAAATTAAAATGCTTCACGTCTTAGGATAATCCTGTTAACAACAGAATCTGGTATTTGGAAATCACATTTTCCACTGCTCATCTACTTACAAAGTTGCAGTGATTGAGAGCTATAAATAACAATTTTCAGATTAAATTAAAGTAATTTTCATCTATAATCTATAAATGTATTTTGCTTTTCTGATATTTTCTATGTCTCAATAATATTTATATTGAAATGTAAGATGTGAACTCTGTGGAAACCAGTTCACTTTTGCTTTAAAGTATAACAGTATTATTATTTAGCATTTTAATGTATAATTCTGTGGGATTTGTTGCCATTTATTAAATAGATTTATGAGACTATATGCATATATTTATGTAGGAACATTCCTATACAACTTTTCAGACCTCTGAAATGTATTCTTTTCAGACCTTCAAAATATATTCAGATTTTAAAATGAACATTGCTGTAACAAACTTTATGCTTACAGTAAAGATTTCTATGTAAAGAATTAAAATCTGTGTCAGATGTATTGTACGTGTGTTGAATATATTCATCCTGATCCAAAATGTGCAAATGGAGTTAGAAATGGTGTATGTTTTGCATAGCCATAATAGAAATGAATCCTATGATCAGATGTTCTTAACCAGTTACACATATTGCAGCCCAAAAGATAACCAGTGGATAGTTATTGATATGGCTAAGGATCTCAGTTTCACAGGATTTTCATAAAAACTGGCCAAAATACATAATGGAGCCTCCTTCAGACTCCGAACCTGGAAGCCTTTGTTGTTAAAGAAAAAATAATTAAATTATTTGAACTCATAAACCTTTGTTTATTTAGATCTAGAATAACTGGTATTCTGAAGATGTGATATATGATAGACTGCATCATTTATTTCAAATAAAACTCAAAGGGCCCTCAACAAGCCAACGTTTCTGTTCTTTCTACATTTCTCAGAAGGATGGCATCAATCATTTACCCTCCTAGTTTCTATTCAGGCTCAGTGTTACAGCAGCCCTGAAAATGACCACGAAGAACTGTGGAAACCGACTGATGTTTGCCTGCTAGGGATCATGAGTGGAATCTATTGACAAGAATTCAACCAACTTGAATTAGAATAACATTCTCCCCTCAAACTTTACTGTACTAAAGACATCAGAGTTTTAGATTACTAGTTAGCTAAAATCAGTCTCAATGGATTTTAGTTTGATTACAAGAACAAGCATAGGGTGCACTTTAAAAAGGTGTCTTGTGTAACTTTGAACATACCAAACAGAGGTTTTCAATGTGACAAAACATTTTCCATGTTAACTATACTCCTTTCACTGTTACGTTGGGTTTTTGTTTTAATAGGAATGGTAAACAGCACTTCAAATGCTTTTTTTTAATACAGGGCTTTCAAGAGAATTTAGTAGCTATGCTTAACCACAGCTTACAGAAACCTTGTTGTGGCTGAAGCTGGTTAGAGCCAAACTGTATTATAACCTAGATCTAAACCACACTATAGTGCACCAACCAGGTTGGATCTATTCTAACCATGTTAAACCCCAGTTAAGCCACAGCTGTTAAACACTTTTGTTAAATTCAGTTGAAGGCCTTGTGTAAAAAGAGTCAAAATCTGAGAGACTTGCAGAAAATGCTAGATTTTAATGTACATGTAGCATATATGTTTAGAGGCTGATCTTACAAGGTGCTGAGCCTCCTCAACTCCCTTGCCCGTTGACTTCAATGGGAGTTAAACCTGCTCAGCATCTCGCAGGAGATACATTGTAGGACAAATTATGTAATAGGTAAATATAGCAATTTGCCTTTATCATGCAACTGTTCCTTTTGTATTTTATTTCAACAATGCTAGGGAGTTAAGATAAAAAACTTTATGACACATACTGAACCTGATACCAGTTATACAAAGACCTACGGTTGTTGGCCCCTTGTACTGAAACTCTGTGCTCCTTTTAAAATTACACACTGAAACTCCAAAAGTTTTTCTGTGTTTTCTAACAAGGATCTTCTTGACTTTATCAAACAGGTTGAGAACTTATTGTCCGGTGAGCTGGAATTCTCTGTAATGAGAAATAGCAAATTTTATTTCCAGAAATTTCATGTAGTGCAAGTTTGGGATTTTTCTTTCTAGACTTAGCAGTTTGTTTATGGATTTGTTTCTTCCTCAAGAGGTTTACACCCCTAAAATGGAAGGAAATTAACTGATCAGCAATGAAAAATCAATTGGATGCTAACAGCAAAATAGTGGGAATTTATGTCTTTGTGGAAAGTCAGAATAAACTGTTCCCTTTAACATCATTGTGATTTTTTGGACAGCAAGCACAGCAAATATGGGCCTGTTGACTGATGCTTTACTGTTATATTAAGGAAAGGAAAAATACCAGCTTGCCAAGAATTAATAGAAAAGATATTTGCAAGAATTAAAATAAGCAATGCTTATTTTTAGCACTGCACTAACAATAGCAAGTAACAGATACTTGAGTTAGCCAAATATAAAGTATCAGCTAAAAAGACATAAGTAAATAAAATATTTGATTATGTAGCTGGAAAGTGAGGAAATATATTAAATATATGAAAAGAGGAAATAATACAAATGAAATGGTAAAAAAGTTGCACATAAAACTGTCAAGCTATAAGCAAATAACAGAACCAGACAGTATCCAAATCAGACTATAACTAGCTTCAAGGCATTCTCCAGATTGAAGTAACATGCTGAATAACAATTGCTTAATAAACTCAATCAACCTGAGTTATCTGAGGTCTTTTTAATTATTAAATAAATTCAAAACCATAACACATATTTACTATCAATTCTTATCAATTAACTATTAATTATTAGGTAACAGGCCTATGGAGTTTACAATGGGGGCAAATACTGTACCCGAGAGCTTCTTGAACTGGGGTCTGCAGACATATTTCATTGGTTTCCAAAACATTACTTGTGTCTTTAGCGAGCTCTGTTAAGAGAAATGTAAATTAATGCTTTAGACAGATGACTCAACATAGTAGCATTTAAGCAAATCTGAAGGTTTCTGTGAAAATTCTACCATACAGTATTTAATAATAAGGAATAGAAATTCAGATTGTAACAAGATAGCATGCACATCACTACATGGAAATACAGGAAATGCAGAAGTATTTCCCCCTCAAACCAAAGAGTTAATGCACCAATCTCCTTAGTAGGATAATAACAAAGTTCAGAGAAATTGAGTCCCATCTCCATGTCAGTGCAAGGTTTGGAATTGACTGAAATCAGACAGAACAGCACCTCTGACTCAGTAAAATGAAACATTCAGCATATATGCTTTTAGTCACTGTCTCTTTCTATTAGCACTATATCCATATCTGTTTGGAACTAAAATGGAAATAATTAAATTTATGAAAAAAATTATACAATTGAACAAAACCAGATCTAGCCCCGCTTTGCACCAACTGTATGTCCATCCCAATATTATTGAGACAATTCAGTTATTTCAGTTAAAACTTCCTCCGATAGACTGGGCTGAAGTTATCAGTTCAACTTCTTTCGGCAGCAGGCTGGAAATAAGTAAGCACAAGGGAATTCTAACTGGGTATCAGGGAGCCTAGCTTCACTGCCTTACACATCACCTCTGAATTTGACCTTGCAAGTGCTGAGTCCCATAAGCAGCAGATAAGACTGCATTGTAGCATGATGCCAATAAAGGTTGGGATACATCAAGATACAGTGTTTTATGTTGGCATAGCAGCACCACTGATTTCACTAGAATCATGATGTTGTACAATTAGTAACAGAGTAGTGGCATGTGTGCATGTCTGTGTATGTGCAAAAGCATGTGTGTGTCTATAGCTATCTTTATCTATTTATCTGCTATAGATACATATCTACAATAGTGGTGGAGATACCAACATGATAAATGATGGAATTATGTGATAAATTGCATTTTTGTATACCTTGAGCCTTTGTCTGCACTTGTTCATTAATCTATTTCTGCCACTCTTAACACTCCAAACTTTGGAGAAGCTTCAAAATACCACCAAAAACTTTAGAACAGCCTGCCACAAATATTTTTATTTCCCAACAGTTTATTCTTTTAAACTGTGAAATGAACAAGTAACATGGTCAAGGTCTTAAAGTGTATTTTGTGACCTATTAAGGCAAGAAATAGAAGCTCTATATTATTGGAAAGCCAGGGAATCCCACTGACATAAAACTATTGTTTCTATTCCTTGGTAGTTTTGAAATATTAGATATTTAAACTGTGAAATATTAGGTATGAAAAAAGCGATTTTAGAAAAAAATTAGCTTTTTCTTTTGTCCTGAAAGCCTATACAGGTCAACTGCTGAGACTTGGTCAGTCCCCCGTACAAGTGGAGGGATAAGAAATCTGGCACTATTAAACTTTTGAAATACTTTTGAAAATTGTGTTTAGAGAGTGTTTTTTCCACCTGTAAAATATGTAACATATGCGGAGACACTGATAGTGGGGGTTGGGCTGAATGTTTTACTGACTCTTCTAAGGTATAATCTTCTACACAACTTAGCCATGGCTTTCCAATTTGTGAACGAGACCCTTTCATACTTATGCCAATAAAACATTTATATTGCACCATAGCATCATGGACTCTTTCAGTCATTTTTGTGTCTCTGTATAAATATGGATAAATATAGATGGACAGACATGTATTTGTATGTACTGTATGTTCATATGTAATTTATATTCTATATATAAGGCCCTTTGTTTTCAGATTTTATTGATTTTTACCTAAAATATTCTGGGTTTTACAAAAGTTACTTGGTGTTTTGGGGTTTTTTTTGGTTATGTATTTTCATCTAAGTTTGTACCACTTAAGTACCTGAAAATACTGACTAGGGAAATATTTTTATGTTAACATTAAATTAGTTTAAATGTAAATGTGAGGCTGCCTGTGAAAGTAAGTTAATATACTGGAAGATAAACACACATGAATGTCAGTATTTGTTTGCTAGCATTTGAGTTCCATAAAAAAGAAATGCCAGAACTCCCTGGATCAGATTTTCCATTCCAGAAGGACAATGGCCTCTTGGTAATCAGATGCTTTTTTAGTCCTTCCATCCTCCAGTGTTAGCCTCACTATTTCTCAAAAAACTGTGAAGTTATTCGTTTGGACTGATTTTCATTCATTTTTAAATGTTTGTAATAACACCAATAGATTTCCAGGAAACAGTAATCAAAATTAAAAAAATCTGGAAAAAGAGGTGTCTCTGATATACGATAAGACGTTTCTAGAGTATTATAATTGCTTCTTCATTGGCAATTATAAGTATTGGGAAAATTTTCAGAGTATCTAAGCTATTCAGTTCCCTTTGTCCTCTATGGAAACTGCTAAGTGACGAACACTTCAGAATTAATTACTTAATTGAATATCTAAATTGAATAGGATCTGAGCTCTTTTGAAAATATGGCTCTCTATTTGTCTGGCACCACTAGTGTGCATGGAATTTCATAGACATAGGTGAAGTTCTGGCCCCACTGAAGTCAATGGTAAAACTCCAGTTAATTTCAGCATTGACAAGAGTTTCCCAAACTCCATAAGCTTAGAGCCTTTTAATGAAAATGATACGCATAGCATCTGTTTTTTAAACTGCATACTGTGCAGGGCAGCAAAGCTTGCTCTTTATGGTAACTAGCTAACTAAAAATGAAATGAGAATTTTTAACAGCTCTATTGTCCGATGCAGGAATTCCTCTCTCTCTCTCTCACTCACTCACTCACTTTGTGGAGACAGGGAAGGAAAAGGAGAAAGCACTATTTAAAATGAATTTTAAGCAAATGTTTTCATTTCAGTAGACTTTTTTGTAGTTCTGTTTATAAATAGAGAAGCAAACCAAAACAAACCCCAAATCAAAAAAGCAAGCCGAAAACAATCCACAATCTGGACTATATTGGAAAGAAAATACATGGCGGTTACCTGCATTTTGGTAGCTTTTTCTATTAGTTTACATAAAGTGCTGAAAATATTCAAGTACAATATATCAAAGAAAAAAACAATGGTGCTATTTTATTACACACACACACACACACACACACTTGTACAACAAAATGTATACGTGTTGTGTGTGTATATATATACACACATTTATCTATAGCTATATATGAAAACAGCAGATGTTCCAATTGTTTATACCTGAATTCTTACCACATTGCTGCATGTTATACTTACAAAACAATAAAATAAGTGACTATACTGCATTTCTATTATATATCATTTTATTTGACAAAATATATTCTGTATAATTTGACTCAGTATTAGCAAATATGGCATTTGCTGTCAGCTATATATGTATTATAGGCTGCTCATTAAGCTCTTTATAGATTTACCCATGATAGGCTGTAGTTTGTATATCATCAAATTGGTTTAACCCAAATGATGAGCTAATACCCATTAATTTTATCTAAAAATTACATGCCATTTGAAAGTTCATGAAGCTGTTCTTAGTTACATGCTGTAAAATGTTAAAGGGAAATAAAAATATTATATCAAATAATGCCACAATTAGCAAACTACGTGTCCTTCACTTGCAAAATATTTTCCATTTGTTCAATCCAAAAAAATGACATTTAACTGAAAGCTTTCTTTTTAAAAAGCAGATTTGTCCTCCTCTTTTAGCTATGTATTCTGAGTGATATACTTAAAATAGAAGCAGTTGTACTTGGGGGTTTTATGAATATAAAGATTCATGAATTTGTATAATTTGGGCATGCAAAGCATTTTTATCAGGCACATTCTATTCAGAGTAAGCAGTAAACCGTATATAAGGGTTGTGTCAAAGTTTACTCAATAGGGCCCTTGGTAGCTAATGTAACATTTCTCTAACAAATCAAAGGTATTGTTCCATGTGCACATGAATATACAGTAGCCATTACCTTAAATTTAAAACTCACTTTGAATAGCAAATACACTGTAAGGATATGAAGGCCATATTGTATCAGTGGAGTCTGCTGAGATTTTCCTCCTATGGCTTTGCCTCGTTGAAATATATGTTTCAGTTGAAAGCTAAAGGGATTACTTTTGAATAGTCATCACAAAGGTTGATTATATTCGTATATCATTTAGCTGGACCCTGCAGGCTATTATTCCATTAGCTATGCTAGCCCTGCACTGTCAAAAAGTTGATCATACAATATAAAAATGCTGTACATTCTCTTAAGCTATGTGAAGTGATTGAGAACAAGAGAGCAGTCTGATAAGAGCAGTGTACCCCTTATGCTGAAGATAAAAGGCATTTAAAATAAATTACTGCAAAATGGAGGATAACTTGTCATGTTTGAAATAAATACGAGTCTGTTTATTATTTTAAACTGGTGCAATGTAACTTTTACTAGGTTAATCATACCAGTGAAACAATATGTAGTTATGAAACTGTTTTAAGTGTATTGTTTTTAATCTTACAAAAACATATAGTTGATTAGAGGAGTTGTACTGTAAATAATTTGGTATTGATCTAAGTATTTGTAAAAAATTGTGTTTTCAGAGAAAAATGTTTGCTGATTAGGGTGTCTCTCTCTCTCTCTCTCTCTCTCTCTCTCATATATACACAGACACACTTTCATTGCTTAATACAAAAGGAGATTTTTATGTGCAGAGTTTTCATTTTGTGGATACTTTAATTTTATTGTACACTATACCTGAACATCACATGAGACTGAAAGCATCTTACTGTTCTGACAGACAGCATAATCATGGAGTCTCTCTAGGTTGTAACACAGGCAAATGTTTCCATTGGGGAAACAATACAGGTTAGTGAATCACAGTATTTATTAATTAAGCATAGGTGTTTTTAAGAACCACATATGAGAAAGATGAATTCTGAACATCAGAGATATTATGTAGTGGGATAAGGAGATGGGAAATTACCCACTTTTATTTAGAATTAGTTTGTGGCTGAGTCTTTACTTTAATACTGTCAACTGTAGACCTGCCTGTGCATATTCCA